TTCCCTGGCAGCAGAGCTGCAGAGACTATCTGCCCTCAAGCCATTCATTTGTGCCTTAAATTCCCTCCAAAGATGGGCTTTATTGTAGACCGGGGACTTCACACCTCTGTTCAGAGATGTAATGGATTACTGTGAGTCGACACAGCTGGAGTCACTTCTCCAGACTCATCATCATTAGGATACCAGCATGTCTTGTTGTACAGTCAGGGACCCCAGTGTCATTGCACTAAGTGCTACACACACAAAAGCAAGGTGTCCCACTGACCCCAAAGTCATTAGCACTAGAGTAACTCTGACGTTCCTTTTTTATCTGCTTACCCCAATGGTCCTACCGGCACAGTTGAGTCCAGAGACAGGTTGGGAGAAAGGCGCCTGGGGTGGATGCTCAATAAAACCATGCAGGCATAGGTGTTTGGGCTAGCAGCTCTTCTGAAGTCCTGTTTCGGTTTCAGGAGGTGCTTAGTTAAGGTGCAAAACTAGCAGCGTGCAATTCAAATCACCGGGCTAAGAGTTTGGGAAAAGGTGCCTTGAACCAATAGTCAAAGAGTCTGTAAGTATCCCTGGTGAATTATTATGGGTATTGTTATTAATAACAACAAACAACTGGGCAAAAGTGACACAATCTATATTCTCCTTACATGAGAATGGCCTCTACATGGCAGGTGGTCACCAATTGCTGAGGAGCTTTCATGTGAGGAGAGATGAAAGAGGCCAGGCCTGCTCAGTTTTAAAAAAGAGACACTGGAGGGGGCACACGAGAAGGGTTTACAAAATACTGATGGCAACGAAAAGGTCAATAGGGATTCACTATCAACTCTCTCTCCCAGTACAAGAACTAGGGGTAACAATATGAAATGAGTAAGTAATAAATGTAAATAGAACACAAAGATTTTTTTTTCCACATGCTGGGCATGTCTACACATGCATTTATGCCAGTTGAAATTTACTGCGCAGTAAATTACTGAGCAGTAAGCGGGAATAGGCTGGAAACTACATGTGCAGGCATTAAAGTGCATTAGTTAGTCCCAAGTCAGTCCACAGACACAGTGTTACTGCACAATAAGGTGTCTACTGACCCGGGGGGTGGTGGGTGGGGTCGATCTCACCTCACCAAAAAGCCGCTGTGCCACTTCCGGAAGTCCTGCAGCTGGCGATCCCACTCCCCGACTAGCACTCATGGGGTGGGGGGTGGTGCTGGTACTCCCGCCTACCCCCCTGCCTGCCAGCTAAACAGGGAACACGGCCTGACAAGGGGTGCACCGGTGCTCTCAGGGGGTGTATGTGTACCCCCATGTACCCCCTACTCATCGCCACTGAACTAATCAGTCGTGTGCATGATGCAGGTATCAAATTTATGCTCAAGTTGGCGTAAGTTGCAATACTTACTGCATGGTATGGGTGTGCATGTGTAGACGTGTGCCCATACTGTGCAGTAATTTTGGTTACTGTGCAGTATATGTGCACATGTAGATGCGCCCAGTGTGTCCTTAAAGGGTAGGACTTGTTGCCACCAGATGTGGTGGTAACTGAGATTGTAGCCAGATTCAAACAGGGATTGGATGCATTTTTGGAGGACAAGGACATCAGTAGCTACTGAGCATGGGAGGGAGGGGCACGGACTCCAAATCAGAACTTTTTAGACCCCAAATGCTGGAGGCTGCATGTGGGAGAGGAACGGTGGAGAAAACCCTGGTCAGACCAAGTCCACTCTCCCTTCCAGCACCCGCTCTCTGCCACCCACCAAGTGACACAGGCCCTGTTTGTTGCCTCAGAGAACCAGTGGCCAGCAAATAAATTATTAGCCTTCCTTAAAAAGGGAGGCTATTGGAAAGGTAACAACTAATTTCTAGGGACAACTAAAAACATAAGAGAGATGGGAGTGAAGGTCAAAGGTTTATAACTAGCGGGGACACTGAGCAGAACGAGTCCAAGGAGCCAGTGGACACTGCCCAGTGAAACTGTTCAGAGATGGGATCTGGCTGTGCCACACAGGAGACTGGGTTAGACAGACCTAGGGTCTGACCCAGTACATACTTATGTCCTAACAACAGTAATAAGAAACAATATTTATACTTATATACAGCTCTGTTAAGTGCCGTGTTGAGGGAACAGTAAACAGCCATCTGCTGCCTGGGGGAGGGAAGGAGGGTGACATTGGGAAATTACCTTCATCCTCAGGAGTTTTAGTCAGTCAAGGCTAAAAAAGGAGCTAGCAATGGGAGAAGCAGCAAGGCTGGGGTTATTGCAAATGTATTTTGACAAGAGGGAAGTAGAAATCAAACAGGGTTCCCCCACAGTGTAACTGTCCCCCACCCCTACAAGGGACATGTATGGTTACAGGAGTAGCACGGATAAGGCATGATTGGGACTTATGGGACATTTGTTTATTTAGTTTTTTGATAAAAGAAGTCTTTTTCATTATTTTTTTCCCCAGCAAAGAGGAAAAGTTGATGCCCCTGTCTATCATATTTGGGGTTCATGTTAGAAGCCCCCTACTCCATAAAATGTCTCCTTTATAGAGTTCATAGACATTAGGGCTGGAAGGGACCTCGGAAGATCATCGGGTCCAGCCCCCTGCCCCGGGGTGGGGAATTGGCCCCAGCCCTCCAGAGGCCCCTGGGGTTGGGGTCTCAGCAGCCCAGGCTTTGAGAGGAAGTTAATCCCTTTGGCCAACGTTAGAGGATGGGGGTCATGGGGGCCCGTTTAGCCTATCACCATTGGGACAGACCCCAGTTGCCCAATGGGGAGTGTGGGGGAGTGCAATAGACAAGGTTTGGATAGGGATGATCCCGTCTGAGGCAGTGGGTTGGACTACATGACCTCCAGAGGTCACTTCCAGCCCTACTTGACTATGACCATGACCATAACTATGACCATGACTGGCTCCTTCTCGTCAGGTCCCAGACACCTGCTCTCAGAGCCTGCTACATCCCTCTACTTCTCACAGCCCCCTGACCCCAAAGAGGTGTTAGAGAGATGTTTGTTCCTTCAGTGATGTTAGCTTAGCTCACCAGGCAAATCAGCACCTTGGGGAGAAGGAAAGGGCTCTCCTTGGGCTGCAGAAGCCACCCAGTAATGCTCTGATTGTGTCTCAGGTTAGAGAGGGATGTGGATGAGTCACAGGGCTTAAAACAGCAGAAACAATGATGATTAGGATGATTAAGGGTGAAAAATATCATGTCAGCAATTTCTGCATTTCCCCCAGTCCAGTCCTCACTCATGGAGACTCCCTCTGTCCCCTTGTCACCCCCTCTTTGTGGATGCCTCTCCCCATCCTGGGCAAGGAGGGAAGCCTTTCCCTTTTAGCTGAAGAACAGATATTTCTTTGTTCAAACATTTTGGGGTGAGGAACAAAAGAAAGAGTTTGTGGGACATATCCCCTTGAGGTGCATACCGTACAGTTTGCAGTCCCCAAGAAAACAAAACCTCTGTACTGGTTTTCATGAAATTGTTATTCCTCAATTGAGTTTTCAGCACAAAATATGTTTGTGGAGTTAATTTTTTTCTGGAAACAGGTGTTTTGGATTTTTTCCTTCACCAAAGATTTAAAAACAAACAAACAATACATATTTACATGCAAGAGTCCTATTCAGGCTTTACATCAGATTTTTTTTTAAAAGAGGAAACTCAGAAAATCACATTTAAAATGTAAAATAAATGTAAATAACAGATATTAAAGCAACTTTAAAAAAATTGTACAAGAAAGAGTAGGCAAGCTCCACACACCTGTGGTCTACAGTCTTGGGCAGAGCAGTTCCTTGACAACGTGCTCTTGGCTGTTCCCCTTCCTGGGGTATCCTGTGTCCTGAACGTAGGGACTGAAGCCTTCCTGGATTCCCCTCTTGATGTAGACAAATTTGAGCATGCGAATGAAAGATGATTTTTTCCACAACACACTCCTGACTTCAGTCAAGGCAACAGCAAAAAGACATGTAGAAAACATTTCCCAGAAACTGGAGAAAGCAGGAAAAGTCTGAGGGAAGACCTCAGAACATAAAAGCAGCCTTGAAGATCTCAAAAAGATGCAAATCATGATGATGCTGTGAAAGATGAA